CATTATAGCGTAACTAATCTTGTAGTTCCCTGTTTCTTTTCTTTGCTATAAATTAATCCTTTGCTCTCTAGCCGCCGGCGAGTCCAACAGTGAAATTGTTAGTTCATATTTCATAATGTGGGTGTGTAGGAGGGGGGGGGGGGGGGTTGAACATATTTCTATATAAGGGACCTGCAACTGTAATGCCACAGTATAGTAGCCGGCAAATACCGGTATGTAGAAAACAGAAATGCATGTTACCATCATTGTACATGGACGGGCGCAGCAGGCCGAAGCTATCAGCCAGAACAGGATTTACAATCACCTAGAGATACTTGAGCTATTCCAGTATTCTCCGTGAGCTGTCCCATTCCACAATGGTTCATGCCACCATTATTTCTGGTAGTATCCATGTGCATAATTCCAAGACCATCTCGGATTCTTCAGCAATTTGTGCCACGGCAAAAGACAACGCTTGAATCGGTCACTGGGGCTGTCAAACTTCCCATCACAAATGAACTTCAATTTCTCATCTGTTTCAAGTATATGTACTGCCATGACTTGACCATGCTTCATCCACAGCTGGGCGAAGATTGTGGCGTTGAATTCCATAGCGCACCTTCTTGCTGCCATGCAGGAGTATGTTGAGAGAAGTGAACATATTTTTACTAAAAAACAACAGCCACTGAAGAGGATTAGCAATAGCCTTGGGCGAATTTCCTGCAGGTACACGTTGTTGGTAGGTCTACTGGTCCGTCTCCATATCGTCAAGTTCAGAAATCACCTGTACTACACTACACATCTTGTAGAAGGGATCCTGATCGAATAATTTCTGGTCATAAAATTCACTAAACTGAGGGCGAGACAAATAGTCAGTACTCCCCGATTCCGTCAAGCTGCTTTGAAGTCTGGATGCTCATGTGATGCTAACAAGCTCCCCGTCGTTACTTCCAGCAGCTTCACTCTCCCTGCGACTGCGGCTATCAACCTCTCTCTCCATCGTCGACAATTATCACAGATTCAATATTCTACATTTATCAGCACTGCACTGGGTGAATATGTCTCGAGACGAATTTAGCGGATCAACAACGCTTTGCTGGAGATAAATTCTCCTCTGGAGGACCTTCAGGGTACCTGGAAGGGTGTAGAAGACGGGATCGCTCACGACGTTGAGAGAACATCGAAAACAACCTCCTCTGCGATTGAAAATTGGCCAAAAAGTATGTGAAATGTATGTGCGCAGATGCATTTCCACTGGCAAGCTAATTCCTCATTACGTCATCAGCGCTCGCTCGGCGAAATAATAAGTCGTCTTCCTGCTCGACTCGATCGCTTCTGGAGACTCGTTCTTGTTCGAGGGGTCTTCTCTTTCACCAACCTTCGTCTTGGCATCGAAAACTCGGCGTCGAAAATGAAGCCGGAGTGCCCCTTTAATCCTGTCAATCAGACATTTCCGGTACTGCTAGGGTGACGGTAGAGGGATGTTCGGGAATATTCCAGTTGCATTGGCCTTGAAGCGTCCATACGGACCATAGCTAGCTTGCAGTGTAGGGGTAGAGTGCTCGACTGGGCGAAGCCAGGAGCGTGGACAAATCCGTTGATCCCCGAGCTGCAGAGAGTGCTCAATGTCAGAGACAGAGCTTAGTACTAAGCTCTGTACTAAGCTCAGCTACTAAGCTCTGTCTCTGACATTGAGCACTCTCTGCAGCTCGGGGATCAACGGATTTTAACTACTCAACAAGAAGCTAACCCACGGAATGCGGAAGTGACGTTCTTGTTTGGGAAGTAAGTTTTTCTTCTCTCAATTATTTTGATACTCAACGGCCAAGTGCTCCATTTCCCCCAAAAATAGGCAAGATGCTGCATCACGAGCCCAAAGTGCTGGGTTCGCGGATTGTACCGAAAATGCTCAAAAAAATGCCGGCATATTACACGGGGGCCTAGCACTGGCTGCAGTCTGCACTATAACGTCGTTACTACAGTCAGACCTCGCTTATCCGGTCCTCTTTTATCCGGATCCCCCGCCATCCGGAAGAAAACAGCTGGTTACAGATTCACAGCATACGTGATGCATCCAACATAGCCGGTGTTTGGTTATCCGGTTCCCTCGCCCATCCGGATATTTTTGTGCCAATTGTGGGAAACGGATGTGTGCGGTTATGCGAGGTCTGACTGTACTAACTAACAGTAACACGTACTTGCGTTCCAGAGTAAACCTGGCACGACTGGGGAGTGGGGTCTGTGGGCACTGATGAAGTGATATGACTGGATGTGACTGGATGTCTAGGAGTGGGACGGCGATCCGGGGTCGGTACTGCAGTCCAGTCATGTACTACTACTAGTACTACTACTAGAAGTAGGTCTACTACTAGTAGTACTAGTAGACCCAGGTGCTCGAAGTCCGTACATGGTATCCTAAGTTCGTACGCCCATAATTTCATGTTCTGTTATTGTATTCGACTCCAATATTTATGGAGGGGACAGTGTGGTATGTTCTCCTCGCGTACCAATTTTCAGGGATCTACGATAAGCAGAAGTCCCATACCACGCGAGTGGGTTTTCGAGTGTCCATACGAAATACAAATTGGGTTACATTTCATGCAAAAATCAACTTTGCCAAGACCGATTTCGAACGGACACAGCGTCAAACAGACCTTCACTCAATCATCAAGAGCCAGCTTAGAGCTGACAATGGCCAGAGGAGAAGAATTTACAGAGAACCACCAATCCTTGCAGAAAGGTTGACACTCCTGGCATCTCCACCACTGTTTTCCCGCGGTTTTCACAGCGCAGCTGCTTCTTCTCTGAGCCGACTAAAAACAGTTTGCATTTCGGCAACAAACTACGCTTTTGCAAGAAATACTGGTGGAGTCACATGCCAAACATATCCCTTCGGTGCTTTCGTCGTAACCGAGGGATTGCAAGTTAGCAATTAGCAGAAATATGTGTGTATTTCGAGTCACCTCTGATCAGTACGGACTTAGACTCTCAGTAACCATGGTAACTTAGAGTACCCTCTGCGACACCAAAATTTGATATTTTGATTGATTTTTTTTGATTGATTTTTATTTCACGGATCCTCCAAATGAGCGAACTCCAGAGAAACAGATCGGATCGAAAGATGGCCTGGTTCAATCGAGCCTGGCCTCAGAACAAACTTGGACAATAGGGCTTGAAAGTGCTACGTCACAGCATAGCAACAATTTCAAAAATTCAAAAATTGGATCCACTTGGATCCAGTTTTTGTATGGATCCAAGCACATTTCAAGCCGTCTTACTCACAGCAAGGTGATGTAACCAGTGAAACTGACTGATTTGGCTACTGGGGGCGGGGTTACAACTGGTGGCGAAGTAAACGTCACCCCTGCATACGACATGAGTGGGTTGCTATGCACCCACATACTGAGGCAATAGCAAAGTCACACCTTAGTGGATCCAAAATAGAAATCTGATGTCAACTTACTACTCCCTGGCCGTTTTTGACGTCATCACTTTCAAGCCCTATTATACCTTCCATCCACGAGCCATCCACGAGCAGGATTCTGGCAAGTGATCATTTGCGCAATAACGGTCACGTGATCCGAGACCGGGCATCCTCTTCGATTTTTGTGCAGAGTATCAGTTGTTGAGCATGGTGAAACACTGTATTTTTCCATTTTGGAGATGGAGGAGAGAGTGTCGAGTGGTTTGCCATCGATGGCTGTGGCACCCGTGGACGAACTGTCAAATGAAGAATGGCCTGTGAAGGAACTGAACAGTTTTCTGCTGAATGAGGGTGCGTATCTGTCTGGAAAAAGAAGGAGTTGTTGGAGCGGTAAGTTTTCCGCATTCAGTGGATATTTCGGAATACTGTAGATTGAAATTTATTTTACTTTTTCTACCTTCTCTCCTCTGTCGATGTAGGGAACAGTTCTCTATGCAGAACCTGATGCTCCTAGAACTAAGAAGAGCACCACTTCCTGGAGTGTACAGTGAGTCATCGTGCCCAACATTTCGTGCGTCCTAGTGGATGAGTGATGAACCTCTGTTTCCCAGAGTGAGTGCCACACCAGGCTTGCTCATCTCCAACGCAGGGGCAAGTCGCCGACGACAGTGAAGAGGGAGCTGATGGAGTAGTACTAGTGAAGAAGCCCGTGGATAGTGTCCATAAGTTTTACTTTGGTGGCTATGTGCATAATGTGAAAGTCTGTCATATCGTGCACACAGCCACAGCTCGAACTCAGATGGCTTTCTCCGCACACTGCGATGAGGCTGCGTCTCTCTGCACTTCAACATCAGCAGCTCGAGCAGCGCCAGCAAGCAGTCGATCTTCCTTGAATAGCGAAGGTAGGGATGGGTCATGCCTTTCTCTCAAGCTCCAGAGTCTCTTGGCAGGGCATTCCGCGTCTTCGCAAAAGCAAGGATGAAAGTCGTCATCGACAAAGTGTTCCGAGCAAAACACTGTGAACGATGTCGCAGCAAACTGCTGCCCTCTTCTCGCCAGATAGCCAGGATTCAAGAGAGTGGAATGCCAGCATCACCAGGGAACGCATGGAAAAACAAGTGGGTTTCTTAGACTAGGGATGACGGTTGCTGCAAACAAGAACCCATGCATGCAACAGTGGTCCTTGGAAAGCATTTTGGAACTTCTTCCTTCAGAACTAAAACAACTTCAAATGAAAAAAGCTAGGGAGTTCGTACATACAATGATACATGTACATGAACATCGCGTCTGGACCGTGAAAACACAGCCTGTCACAGGAAACTTGATCACGTCCTGCAGCAAACCATGCATGCTGATTGCATGCCAAGTATAAAGTGTGCAGCGCGCGCACAGCATGCCCCGTCTCGACCCCTCTCGCTTATTGTGCAAAGGGTCTAATGACATTATTAATAGTAGTGTGAGTTTCAGCTCGGCAAACACACACTGTAAAAGACTAAGTGTACGGACTTCGAGCACCTGGGTCTACTGGTAGTACTACTAGTACTAGTAGTAGTCAGTGCCACTGCCACTGGCACGGGTACTAGTATGGGCCGCACTGAACAAAGGACACCAGCGATACGAGTAAACTCCGGCAGTCGATCAGGAAGAACTTTGTTACTTCTTGGGTTTCTGTTTCTGCGCAAGACCTGGCCTCTTCGTGTTGTGCGTAGATCTACGTGCAAACGTTGCTTTCCGGTGCAGATTTAATTCCTCCGCTGGTGGTTTCTTTCTGGCTGCCACGACTCTTTCCGTGTTACAGAAACTGTAGGTTTGCAGCCATGTCGTATTCTTACCAGCCCGTGCAGCGAGATGCCGCAGACTCTCATCTTGACCCTCCGGCTCCGGACTATTATCGCAGCGGCAGCGCTGGAGTTGCCACAACAGCCGTAACGCACACCCAGTCCTTGCCTGCTGAGCCGACGCTGAGGCCGTCGCGTTGCGCCAGCGGAACGCTCTTTGGCTTCGCCGTAGTGTGCATTGTCTTGAGCATCATCATGCTTGCGTTGAATGTAGTACCTGCCGGCAAAAGAGTCGAAGTGTATGTCGTCAACAACGCCGGAAGATACGGAAGTATTAGTTCAATAACGAGGGAACATCTATTCGTCCCCGGTATCTGGCTTGGCGTACTGGCAAGTATCAAGCCCCATGCTGTTGATTTCTACCGTTCGTCTTTCTCATTTTACTGTAAAAAATAGTTTGAGGGAAGCTTCTCATGAAAAAATCGTCTGCCACTGCCAAGCCGCAGGGGTGGCCCCCGGGTCAACATTTCGAGTACTACTAGGCACTTCACCCCATTTTTTGAAATCGCGTTTTTTCCAGGTTTATCATCGGTAATCGATGGTGGTGGGTATCACAAGGTCACACAGAAAATTTTATTGAAATCCACAGTGATACCACTCAGATATGAAGGGTTGAAGATAGGCAGTTGCATAAGGCGAAATCAATACAATTTGTGGCACCAACAGCATCTCCGAAGTATCATCAGTGGATATAGTCACAAAACATCAGAGTGTTTTTTTCAAGCACACATCACTCACTTACACCAACAACCCTGTATGGATCGAAACAATACAGATAAAAGTTCAGAATAGGCAAGAATACGGCAATTGTGACCGCAATCACTATAGCAACTCCATAGCAACCCATAGCAACGCCATAGTAACCCATAGTAACAGCTTCAGTTTGCTGTGAAATGAACTGATAACGACATACTGGCAGGCTCCTGCGGGTACTAAAGCGTAAGAGCTATAAAGACATTCTTCTGGCACAAAAACAACACACAACTTCCTCGTTGTACGCCGTACACCGCAACGTGGAGGGTAAGCGCGCGCGCGAATTGCTGCACAGGACATTCGTGCCCACAGTCATGCCATCTCAAGTGATTCCAAGTTGGCAAGAAGTTCCTCAGGACCTCTGTTGGTAGCTTCTTTCCATGGTGTGATATCTGCCTCCCTCTCCTTCAACTGCTCCATGCAGCAGTCATGAATTGCCTGCTGGTGAGCTTTGAAATTTTGGTGAAGCGTACCTGGCTGCGTATATCAAAGCATCCCCTCATCAGAGGGTTTCTCCAGCAGCCACTGTGCTTTTTGATTGTTCGTAAACATCAGTAGGCCTTTCAGCGCAACCGTGTCAAAACTTGGCTTTCAGTACGCTTTGAGAATTCGCCCAGGTAGGACGACGCATCGTCGTTCTCCTCCGCCTAAAGCGCATACTTCTCAGTGCCTACGTACATAATGTCTCCTTGCGCAGCGATGCGCAAGCCCTGGTAAACAAGAACTCTACTGTTTCCGAATGGAAAGACGACGCTGAAGACGATAGGCAGCGTTTCAAACGCGAGCAAACAACAGTTCTTTGTGAAAAACTCTTTACCGGTAGTGTACGTGATCTACAACTCGCAAAAATGTACGCACTATGACGTATGCGGGATCTACTGAAAGCTGAACGTCAGAGCAACACGATGCGCCCAACTATCAGCCCGTACAACGAAGCATAGCGCGTACCTGTACAGTTTTGCGCATGCACTTGACTGGTGCCACGCAAGTACGCACTCTCACCTTAGCAAATTTTGACAGGTCCTGTCACGTGACTGAAGTGCCTAGTACTACTTCAAAAAGAAGTAGTAGTTCCCACGACCTCCCCTACCTCGGGGAAAGGACACGATATTTCACCTCATTCTTTTCTTAGAGCTCGGATGTTGAGCCATTAGTAATATGTACAAGTAAAGAGAAAAGCACCTAGGCTATAAGTAACTAGTAATAGCTAACAGTCCACTAAGGGTCGGAGATAATTATTCAATCAGATAGTGCGACAACAAGGCACACAACTGACAAGGATATTGAGGCATTCGACGACCGGACACCTAGCTCCAACACATCTACAAAGCGCAAACCAACAACCTTCCAACTTGGAAGGCTGGGGTGCGGAAAGTTCCGTTGAAGGGAAGGGATGCGCAACGAAGATGTGCACGAGTCATGTCCCTAGGCAACAAAGAATGTCAAACGTTACGGGATGATGATTGCGAGACTAATCAGACCATTGGACAAACCGGTCTAACTACAACTCGAAAACGCAAGGCAACAGACCACACAACTTGGGAGGCTCAAAATGCGTGTAAAAATACACGAAGAGAGGAAGCCAAGCGAAGACGAATTGTCACGACTGGTTAGACCCGGTAGATGTCCGATACGGTTTAACTCTTCAAACGAAGATGTTCCTGCGGCTTTGGAGGTAATTGGTACAGAAAGTGTCTGCTCCGAACGTCAGAGTCAGTCAAGTGTCAAGCCATGGAAGTGCTACTCGCGGCTCCGGCGTTCGGCGAAGACACGTTGGTTTAACTCTTGTTATGATTATTGACTCCGTGGTCGTCATCGACAGGACCAGTATTGACGCTACATCTTTTGCTCTGTTTTTCCTTTTATACCAACGAACAGGAGCTGATAGCAGCGACGTTGGCACTGATCTACGGGCTGAAGGCATCACGAGCCAGCTGCACCATCGATCGGAAGTGCTGCGCACCAGTATTCTGCACGGTAAAGACCCTACTGAAGTAACGCCTTTTGCAGAGCTTCGGGAATAAAGCTGTGTGGACCCTGGCTAGCGACAGCCGTTACTGAAGAAATGTCTTTCGCAGAGCTTCGGGAATAGAGCTGTGTGGACCCTGGCTAGCGCCAGACGTTACCGAAGTAACGCCTTTTGCAGAGCGTCGGGAATAAAGCTGTGTGGACCCTGGCTAGCGCCAGCCATTACTGAAGTAACGTCTTTTGCAGAGCTACGGGAATAAAGCTGTGTGGACCCTGGCAAGCGCCAGCCGTTACTGAAGTAACGTCTTTCGCAGAGCTTCAGGAATAGAGCTGTGTGGACCCTGGCTAGCGCCAGACGTTACCGAAGTAACGCCTTTTGCAGAGCTTCGGGAATAAAGCTGTGTGGACCCTGGCTAGCGCCAGCCGTTACTGAAGTAACGTCTTTTGCAGAGCTACGGGAATAAAGCTGTGTGAACCCTGGCTAGCGCCAGCCGTTACTGAAGTAACGTCTTTTGCAGAGCTTCGGGAATAAAGCTGTGTGGACCCTGGCTAGCACCAGCCGTTACTGAAGTAACGTCTTTCGCAGAGCTTCGGGAATAGAGCTGTGTGGACCCTGGCTAGCGCCAGACGTTACCGAAGTAACGCCTTTTGCAGAGCTTCGGGAATAAAGCTGTGTGGACCCTGGCTAGCGCCAGCCGTTACTGAAGTAACGTCTTTTGCAGAGCTACGGGAATAAAGCTGTGTGGACCCTGGCTAGCGCCAGCCGTTACTGAAGTAACGTGTTTCGCAGAGCTTCGGGAATAAAGCTGTGTGGACCCTGGCTAGCGCCAGCCGTTACTGAAGTAACGTCTTTTGCAGAGCTTCGGGAATAAAGCTGTGTGGACCCTGGCTAGCGCCATTCGTTCAACGTATTTTGCATAGCTACGGGAATAGAGCTGTGTGGACCCTGGCTAGCGTCAGCCGTTACTGAAGTAACGTCTTTTGCTTAGCTACGGGAATAGAGCTGATTGCTACCACCATGGTGTATAGCTTGTGCTGTTTGTACTTGTTCTCTCTGTGATGCGTGGCAGGGATGGTTCTTGTCGGTCGTATTCGCACTCATGTCAGTGGTGGCGGCCGTGGCAGGTGTTCTGGCCATCATCGTTAAGCTCGACGTACTATTCATCAGTAAGCCGTTGTGTTGAATGTCTGATCATCGGATCGATGAAGACCAACACAATTCGCTGCATGCATGTACTTGCACACCGAGAGTGCTGTGCACTACCGATTGATGATGTGCAGTAAAAAATATAATAACTGTTTTTCAATTGTGATGACTGCACAATTATGTTGTGATCCTTCCATTTTGCGCTTCATCGTCTTCTCGAAAATTATAACTAACTTGTTTGCGCTGATGAGTCCACAAAGGACGAAACAGTTCTGTCCGCACATTGAGTAACTAACTTATGTAAAATGTTCTTGTATGTATTGTTGCTATAGCAACGTTTCACCAGTGTACGGATGGCTACATAAGGGGTGTGACAGTATGCGGTTGTGTAAGCGGAGACACTGTGTATGGTGGGTTCAGGAATGCCGACTGCGCATTCGCGACAGGTAAGAGAAATTTGTTGTGAGAGCTACATGGTAGTGCGCAAGTGTAGTGTTGTAGGCTGGAATGGGTCAGTGTGTGTGTGTGTGTGTGTGTGTGTGTGTGTGTGTGTGTGTGTGTGTGTGTGTGTGTGTGTGTGTGTGTGTGTGTGTGTGTGTGTGTGTGTGTGTGCATGGTACGCAGGAAGGGAGGGAGGAGGGGGGGGGGGAGAGGGAACACCTGTTTGGGCGCGTTCCTGTCATTCGAGTTGGTCCCTGTTGTGAAAGTTGCAGTCTGCAGGCACGGTGACCAGGTGACTGGTGTAATCATCAGCACGAGGCCACTTACTCGACCGTGTTCGATGGGGAATAATAGCCAAACGCTGCATCGCAGCCTTCTCGGACCAGCGTCCAAAAGACTACAACATATGGGCCAACCGCGTTCATCCACGTTTTTATACTTCAAGTACTTACAAGTAAGAATGAAATGGTGGTTTTAGTGACACATTGCAAACAAATCCCCATCTAGTAGGGCGCAGTCACCCAGTTTCGGTGTAAGCGGCGAGTTCGATTAGGACTAAAGGAGGATGGAAGCGTCTCCGCTTCCTCGGACCAAGACCATTTGACTCAGCACCCTGAAAACTACTAGTGGTGAGATTTTGACTCTAGACCAAACTTCGTATTCGGTAACGAACAACTCATCTTAGGTCCAATAGTACTGTACATCATCGTTATCAGCCGTTATCACTACCACCACCACCTAGCGGTTCCAAAACCGGTTCCTTACCCGAACCGTTTCACCCCTAGTCGTAACTGTACTCTCAAGCCTTCAAGTGTAGTGACTACACAGTCACCAGCACACTCAGTCCATTACCATCCGGATGTCTCGTTTAGACAAAGAACTATGAAACTAAAGATGAACAGCAAGATATCAATGCATGCCAGAGAGGCAAGGTGACCAGGCCATTAGGGGCACCGGGTAGGCCCAGTTTGGGTCACCAGGTCACGCACTCTGGATGTGCGGGTAACCCCATACGGGTAATGTGTATGCTAAATAAGGTGAGTGCATAAAGCCTATCTACATCAGGAAATAGACGAATGAGACTAAGCAGTTATACACATACTTAAACTCCACTAACAGTATTTCTCACAAGTAGAAGATCATGATCGAAAATCCACATCATGTCCAGTCTAGAAGCTGCAAAGCCAACCCGAATCGGCCTGAAACGGGATATCAATGCCTGAACAAAACAGATCCGACAGACTTCCACAACGGCTGACCAGTGCACTCATGACGACTAAAGATTGAAGTTTCAATTCCCACCATTCCGCCATTGCGACCTTCCTCTCCGCACTCGCTCGTCCACTCCACTGTAAACAACGAGTCGTTCCAGCACTCCACCAGCCAATCCGCAATTCCCCCCACTGAATTCTTTGAGCTTGGATTCTTTATAGCACTCAAGGGACAGCTACTCCACTGTGAGTGGTGGACCACGACCGACGCAGCAGTGACAATATCAAAATAAATTGTCCTGCAAGCTACATCGCGATTCCGCGTTCCAATCATGCAGCACTACCTTGGCGGTGTGCGAGGGTGCTCCAGGGTCGACTCTGGCTACGCCAGGGTCGCTCTGGGCAGGCAGAAAACTTTGGAGAAAGCCAAGAAAACGGAGCTCAGAAAGTGTAACCTGCTCACAAGGAGCACAACAATTTCACACACACACCATTGGACCATTGGACGCCCATCGCCAGAGGCGATGATAGCGATGCTACAGCAGAAGCCATAGCAGCTTGTGCTGGGATTGCACCATTCAACAGCTTGCAAGGCTGAAGAATTGACCGCCACTATTCAGCCTGGTCTACACCACACCGCTATGAAATGGCTTTTTCTGGCCAGTGAATCCCTACTTTTGGTCTTTTTCATTTTTTTTCACACACGCACACACACATCACACGACATACTCCGGCATGCACTGGCTGTTGGTAACCACACACGAGAATGAAAGAAAAGTCAGGAAGAGTCTGAGAAAGAGAAGAAAGACGTGTGTGACCATAATCGTCGGGAATCGAACCCGCAACCTATCGATTGGAAATCGCTGCACATACCACTGCACCATATGGGATACACACACACACACACACACACACACACACACACACACACACACACACACACACACGCACACGCACACGCACACACACACACATACGCACACACACACACACACACACACACACACACACACACACACACACACACACACACACACACACACACACACACACACACACACACACACAACACACACACACCTGTCCTGTCCTGTAGAGCCACTACCACTAGGGTCACGTGTGCCCCCGGAGGTGCAGCAGAGACAGAGAAAGCGCACGCCACCCGATGGCGCTCCAGATGCGAGACTAGTCGGAACCTGCGAAAACAGATCCAGATATGCGGGAACTATTACTTGTCCCGTTTTCTAGTCATTGGACGGTGGCAGTGCATTGAACAGCGATGTCGGTTGAGTCCCTGGGTTGAGCGGAAACAACGATTGCAGATGCCACAGTGAGCATTGCAGCAACTCCGAACGGTAGTGTCACGGGTGGCAACAATAGCATACGCACATACGCACACACACACACACACACACACACACACACACACACACACACACACACACACACACACACACACACACATACGCACACACACGCACACATACGCACACACACACACATACGCACACACACGCACACACACACATACGCGCGCACACACACACACACACACACACACACACACACACACACACAAGAATACGCGCACATCCACTTTCTCCAACAAACACAGCATTTATTCTATACAGGCTCTTTCTCTCTTGTTTGACTCTCTCTCTGTCTGTCATTTCTGTCTGTGTTGCAATGCGCTACAGGAACCCTGCCTAACCTGTATGCTGCCGTTGCAGTCATATGCGGTTTAGTGTCTGTACTGAACATTGTCATCTCTGCTCTGTTCTGTGGAGCCCTCTGCTGTTGTTCCACATACACACTGCCAGATGCTGTAGCGATGTCATCAATGGTGAGATCATGTTGAATCCTGTTAACTCGATCCTCTGAGTAAACCATCCCCGACTATGCAGTACCCACCCTTTGTCGTAAACCAGATTCAAAGCAACGGGTCCGAAAAAATTGGGGAGATGGCATCACTTACCAACACCCACCTCTGCACTACATGTAATTTCGCAGTCTATCAATAGCTGTGGTACAACTTTTCCATGGCTGCTCCTCCTTGAATTCTACTTACTAGCTATTTGTACAGAATGCCAGGAAAAAAATCTAATTATCCGGACATTCTAATTATTCCAAACATGAACCCACAACACAATATGTATGTCAAAAATGCTCTCGTGGTCATGCAGAGTTGCGCTATGGACCTTAGACACAGATTTCACGGACGGGGACGCGTGACTGAACCGACCAGCCTGCTCATCCAAACTGAACTGACCAGTACAATGTACAGTGAACTTTGTTACTTCGAATTACACTTTGCTAACTTCGAATTATCAGCACAAATCCCACACATTTTCTATGTAAGCGGAATCTGTAGGACTCCTAATTAATCGGACATATCCAGTTCGAGGTTCGAATTATCAGAAATATTTATGTGGGAATCGTATTGATAGAAATCGGTCCTGGGAAAACTTCTAATTAAGCGGTATGTTCGAATTACGCCATATTCGAATTATCAGGATTCCACCTGTGCTTGGAGTCGTGTTGCGTGAGGATCGTGGCTGCAGTGAAATCTGAGTTGCAACATCAACTCGCTGTGCGTTCACGTTCCTTGCTGGACTGTTAATATATGCAGCCTGGAACCTCTCTGTTGGTAAGCGCTGCGTGCGTGGAGTAGGAATAAAGCAATTCCTGTTTTTTTTTTACCATAGTAACTCACATATTGGCGCATGTGCCTGTATTCGGATATAAGCGCACTCTCACTTATAAGCGCATGCACTTATCGTCGAAGCACTACCATAATTCTCACTTTGACAAGATCAAGGATAAAAATCTGCAAACAGCATACAGGAACCAGGAAACTGACACTACAAGACCTAGTCAAACACAAAGACTCTGGCAAACTAACTCTGATTGCGCATGCGGGTTAAAGTGAAAAATTGGATTCGTAGCAAAAATTCACTTATAAGCGCATGTACTTATATGTGCGTTATTATGGTAGTTACTCGATACGCTATGCTTTGCCGTGTTTTCATCAACAGGTCGTTGTGAGTTCTGCCCCAGCCCTGGCGCCTGATGCACCCATCACAGCTCACGTCGCTGCACCCGTCGTTGCAGCTGAACCAGTAACGGCATACGCATATGATCCCGCGGCTGCACCCGTAGCTGCACCAGCAATGGCGTACGCATATGATGCCACCGCCGCAGTTGCTCCCAATCCACCTCAGTTCCAGAAAGACACAGTGAGTTGGTCTACGCTGCTATTCTCTCTAAAAAAAGTTTCACTTAAGTACGTATTGGCTGTAAACTTTAGCAGTGGATTGTTGTGTGTGACCACAATGACTCGCGACCATTTGCCATTGTAAACTCTCTGGTTCTGAGAGATCGCAGAAATTTAGTGACGCGAGTATTTTGAGCAGTTTATAGTGCTGACATTCCAATCTGCATAACCAAACACAACAACATATCAACGGCTTCCACCTGCCGCTAGCGCCTCCTGCTTTGGCTCTACCATGTCGTCTGTGAATTGTGTATCCAACACGGCTTGGCTTCTTGCTCCGCACCTACACTAGTGATGACCTGTGGAAATGTTCTCCCATGATATGGGTGGAGAAATGTGCCGGTAATAATGATCTAGCACTCTGAATGTTTCTACATTTTAGAATTGCTAGTGACAGGCAGCAATATCTGCGAATTGTTGCCGGATGCAGGAATCTCCCATAACCATAATATTATTATAATGAGCGCAATGGTCGAGCTGTGCACACCTCCTGTAGTTATTTCAATTTGAAAAGCGTGTAAAAGAGTAAAATTAGAGATCCTTAGCAAACGTACGATAACGCGAGCTTTTACGGCACTCACTCCCAGGCGTGACAAAAGACGTTATCGGGTAACGGAAAAACGTTATATTCATACTACGTTACAATACGCGTCACGTTTTGAAATACGACGTACTGGCAGACGTCGTTTTCATGCAGGTGCATTCACATATATAGGCACGTACATGCTGCTCGTACAGCTGTGTGTACGCCTTCTTTTGGACACAAACTGCTGGGAACGACAGAACGAAACTCGGTACAGGGGTCTGGATACGTCGTCTACGTTTTCGTATCAGGGTACGATTTTCCCGCCACGTTCCATGTTGTCATGGCTATCCGGACGAAAAAGTCACGTACGCGTCGTTTTGGGCGTAGTGTGAATTTTTTTACGAGTAAAGAGAGGCCTCTTGTACGGGCAAAACAAAATAGAATTGGAATGAGTATATTTATAGGATAAAGTGGCGCAATTGCGCACTTTCTACATAGAAAAGTGGCATACCCAAAGAAGTAGAAAGTGACAACATGTTCTAAAGGTGATAAGGAAACGCACACCGGGGATAATACTAGGAAGGCGTAGTGTGAATGGCCTATAACCGAGCTCAAAATAACGGGCCGACGTTCGTTATGGGAGTTCTGCAAAAACTCGCATTGTTTTGTAACTGGCGGGATTTAAAAAGCATGTGCAGATCGAGATCAGAGTCGAGACGGCTTCCTCTTGTGACATTTAGCTTTTTTTGGCGAGTTTTGCCTTTCAGTTGACAATGTCTGCGTCCTCTGCTTCGTGCCTTTCACCCTCTATCCCACCTGGGAAACAAAGGACTGGTTCGCGGCACTCCTGAGGAAGAAATTCATCGG